AAAAAAAAAAGAAATTTCCAAAAATTCATGATTGGCTCTGCAGGATGGGGTTGATCCCACTCCAGGCTGACACTGCTCCTGGGCGAGGGCCCCCAGGAATTGGAGGGCGGGGGCGAAGTGAGGGCTCTTAAGGCCTTCTGCTCACAGTGTGCCTTCCCTCCCTCAGATCCTCTCCTTCATCCTGCACACGATCGTGCGAGGATTCATCCACTCCGCTGTTGGGGGCCTGTATGCCGCCGTGTAAGTCCTAGAAGCTGCAGGTACCTGGTGGGCGAGGGTGTGGGAATGGCACAGGGAGGTTGCTTGTGGACTGAGACTCTGAGGCTGGGTCAGCCTGTTCCGGCAGGGCTCATCTTCCTGCATCAGGGGCAGGTGCCAGGGTTTCTGCTGGGTGTGTCAGGGAGAGGCCACACCTGGTGGGAGGCAGGTCAGTGGGCAGACAGTTGGGTGCCCACCAGCCTTGGCATTCAGCACGAAGTCAGTGCCCCCAGCCAGGTGGGGCACCTGTGCAGCTCGTTATGGCCTCAGGGGCCACTGCTCAGCCGAGTCCTGGGCTGGCCCTGACTGGTCACAGGGAGGACAGGGGTAGGTTCTGGCTGCTTGAAGCTCAACACTGAGTTCAAATGGCCCTCACCGAGGGCAGCAACATGGGTGACAGCCCAGAATGTCCTAGGCGGCCCCGTCCAGAGCCTCCATGCACCCAGCCTGGCTGTAGCTTTGTCCAGCCCTGGCTGAAATGAAACTTCTGTCTTTTTCCAAGAGGCCGCGGAAACATAAGGAACCACAGTTGTTCCTCCTTTTCTGGCTCAGGGCTTGATGCAAACACTGAAACTGAAACGCCACCATCCACGGGCTCTGACGTGGGACCAGCTCATCCCTTGCCGGGATTCCTTTCCCACCTCTGGGCCAGCAGAGCCTGCTGTGTGCTAAGATTTCACCCAGGACTCTCCCCATTCCCGCAACGTCCCGTGGGGTCCTCCCGGCTCTGCTCGTCCTCCACCTGCCCCGCCCCAGGCCTGGAGGAAGCTGTGGCTCCCCTGGCCAGGTCTGAGGATGGGAGGCAGGGTCTGTGGGGCTGAGTTTCCGCGATTACTCAACACTCCTCTGGGTGAAGGCACCGCCCAGCCTCCACGCTCGTCTCTGGGGCTGTTTCCCAAACCACAGACTCCTCCTGGCACCACACGTTCCACTCAGCTCAGCCAGACACCCGCAGCCCTGGGCACAGCTGAGTGGGGCCAGCCCTCCCCGGAGTCTGAGGCCTGGGGCTGGTCCCAAAGAGAAACACTTTGCAGAACCGCCCAGCAGGGCCAGGCTCAGTGGCTCACACTTATAACCCAGCACTCTGGGAGGCCGAGGCAGGTGGATCACGACGTCAGGAGTCTGAGAACAGCCTGGCAACAGGGTGAAACCCCGTCTCTACTAAAAATACAAAAAAATTAGCCAGGCGTGGTGGCCCATGCCTGTAATCCCAGCTACTCAGGAGGCTGAGGCAGGAGAATCCCTTGAACCCAGGAGGCGGAGGTTGCAGTAAACCAAGATTGTGCCACTACACTCCAGCCTGGGCGACAGTGCAAGCCTCTGTCCCCAAAAAAAAAAAAAAAAAGAACTGCCCATTGGCAGAAATCCAAGGGCCAGCACCTCCGCTTGTCTGGCACCAGTGGTGCAGCCTGGGGTCACCAGTCATCTGGGGCCGAGCAGAGCCCAGGAGGGAGGAGGCTGGCTGTGACAGCTATGGCTTGCCCGGCAGGTACCCCTCCACCCAGTTCGGCAGCCTCACGGGCCTGCAGTCCCTGGTCAGCGCGCTCTTCGCCCTCCTGCAGCAGCCGCTGTTTCTGGCCATGATGGGTCCCCTCCAGGGAGACCCTCTGTGGGTAAGAGGGGTCCGGGGATGGGTGGGTCATGGGCGCCTGACCCCCTCTGCTAACTGGGAGCTGCAAGATGCTACTCAGGGGGCTTCAGGGCCCCGAGGATGGGCGATTTGGGAACGTTGGTTCAGATCTGTTCAGGGTCCCTTTGTGAATGGAGGCCGTGCGGGAGGAGGAACGTGTCCTTGCTGGACCTGATTTGGGGGTAAACAGAACAGAGTTCCTGGACTGGGTGCAGTGCCTCACACTTGTAATCCAGCACTTGGGAGGCCAAGGTGGGAGGATCACTTGAGGTCAGGAGTTCAAGACCAGCCTGGTCATGATGAAACACTGCCACTACTGAAAATACAAAAATTAGCCAGGTGTGATGACGCATGCCTGTAGTCCCACCTAACTGGGAGTCTGAGGCAGGGGAATCACTTGAACCTGGGAGGCAGAGGTTGCAGTGAGCTGAGATCGTGCCACTGCACTCCAGCCTGGGACCAGAAGCTTGTCCCAGTCCTGCCCCGGAGATTCAGATCAGAGAGTTCACGGCGGGTGGAGGGCCAGGCCCTGAGAGCTCCGCGTGTGCCGCGTGGCCATGAAGAGCCAGAAACTGGGACGCTGGAATGTGGAGTGATGGCCTTCCTGTTGGGTTCCCCCTGCACCCCTGTGACCCCGTCCCCTTTCCCAAGCCCGGTGGAGGGTGGGCCTGCAGTCCGGTGACGTGGAGCCCCCCTGCCTCCGCAGGTGAACGTGGGGCTGCTGGCGCTCAGCCTGCTGGGCTTCTGCCTGCCGCTCTACCTGATCTGCTACCGGCGCCAGCTGGAGCGGCAGCTGCGGCAGAGGCGGGAGGACGACAAGCTCTTCCTCAAAATCAACGGCTCGTCCAACCAGGAGGCCTTCGTGTAGCAGCCACCACCTCAGGACTGCGGCCCTGCCTGTGCGTCTGCGGCTGACCCTGCCCTGCCCACCCCAGAGGACCCCACGCACCCCAGGACCCTCGCCATCCCCAGCTCCCTCCCGGGGCCGGTCCTGCCTCGGAGTGCGGCGGTGGAAGGACGGGAGAGGGCCTGGGACGCGTCCATTTCCTCCTGCTGAACACAGGGCTGCCTGCCCGGGAGGGACCCAGGGGCTGGGGTCTCCGTGGTGCCTGCAGGAGGAGCCAGGAACCCCTCCCGGCAGCGCTCTCCCGCCAGTGTCTGGATTCTGCCTCTTGCCAAAGCAGGGGGCTGCCATCCACTGCCCGCCACCTGCCCCCAGCTGCATGTCCACAGCCACACCTGCCTGAGGACAAAGGCTCGCACTGTCTCGCCGCGCCTGGCCCCTCTCCCTCCCCGGCTCGTCTCGGCTGCCTGAGGAAGGAAGGGCCTGCTTCCTGTTGTTGGTGCTAACTCCTTTGTCATTCCAGCCCCTGTGGCCTGGCCAGGGCCTGTCCGGCCAGTGCTGAAGCCCCCTGGCTTACGGCCTAGGGAGGGGAGAGCGGGCTGGGTGAACATGGTGGCCGTGGCCCTCGCCTCCTCCCCCAGGGCCTACGCGGGGACACGTTTCCATGGCCACCCTCGTCCTATCTGCCGCCTGAAGGGAATTTCAGGAGCACCGCCAGAGCCAGGGCACCGCCGGCATACACACAGCTGCTTTTTGGGGGTGGATGTAAGGCTGTGGCCGGCAGACACGGAGGTCCAGGCCGGGGTGGGGCCGTGGATCAGTGTGTCGGGTTGGGGTGTACAGGCGGGAGCCACCAGGCCTCCAGCCCAGCCAGTGCCCAGGAGCCACCCTGGCGTGGGGCCAGGAGCTCATCCGAGGCCGCAGGCCCACAGCACCCCCTGCTGGCGGGACCCGCGGGGCCTTGGAGCTGACGACAGGGGAGGCAGGAGCGCCTGACCCATCAACCCACGCACCTCGACTGCCCCCAGAAATGTGTCTTGAGACCTGGGGGTGCTTAGAGGGGTGAGCTGATGTTTGGGTTTTTAGTTATTTTTCTTTCCCAACAGTTTTATCAGACTTCTTTTTATAAAGCAATAAATCCGTTCTCCTGGTAAGGGAAGCCCCTCCTAGCATATCAGTCTAACTGCATGTGCCTCTTTTGAGCTGGAGAAGAAAAGGCAGGACAAGATTTCCTGCCACCGACCAGCCCCGGCCATGCCCAGCTTGCTCTTCATCTCTCTGTGAATCTGCCTTCTTGGGAGGGGCCGTGGGCCAGGCAAAGACCTCACTCCCCGCCCCTACACCAACGGGGCTTGTGCAGGCATCTTAGAGTGTGGGCCGGCCCCCTCTGCTGATTGTCCAGCCAAACAGGCGAGCCCTGGCCCCTTTCCCTCCCTGTGCCCTTCCGCAACCCTGAGGATTCCCTGTGCATTTAAGCTGAAGGATAGCCCAGGACAGCTGCAGGCTCACCGCAGTTTAGGATGGGGGGCAGACGAAGGGAGAAGAAGGGGCAGGCCAGGCCACATTCAAGCTCTGCATTACCAGCTTGGGTGCCTGAAACACACATCTCCTGGGCTTTTGTTCACTCAAATATTTTAAAAAGGTAGGCGCTGTGGCTTATGCCTCTAAGCCCAGCATTTTGGGAGGCCAAGGCAGGCAGGTCGCCTGAGGTTGAGAGTTTGGGACCAGCCTGACCAACATGGAGAAACCCCGCCTCTACTAAAAATACAAAATTTTTAGTAATCCCAGCTATTCCGGAGGCTGAGGCTTGAACCGGGAGGCAGAGGTTGCTGTGAGCAGGATGATACCATTGCACTCCAGCCTGGACAACAGAGCAAGACTCCATCTCTAAATAAATAAATTTTTTTTTAAATTGAGAGAGGCCGGGCGCGGTGGCTCACACCTGTAATCCCAGCACTTTGGAAGGCTGAGATTAGATCCACCTCAGGTGGATCACCTGAGGTCAGGAGTTCAAGGCCAGTCTGGCCAACATGATGAAACCTCATCTTAAAAAAAAAAAAAAAAAAAAAAATGGAGAGAGCTAGTCAGCATGTCTACTCCTGAGAATGCTTGTTTTGTGATGTTAGTGGTTATCCTCATTTTCAAGGAGGTTTTAGAGTGAAATTTGGGAAAGGCTGAGTTCAAGTCCAGCCTGTTTCCTACAGCCAGCACTGGCAGTCCTTCCCCACGCTCATGAGCTCTGGGGCTCCCCAAGTTGGCGTGCGGTGCTGCTGAGGAGCGGCTCGAACCACCCGCCCCCACTGCGCCCCATGGCCACCTGCAGCCGAGGCTCCTGGAAGCTGGTACCACACACAGACTCCGGGCCTTGCGGCCGGCCGCTGACCCAGCTGCCTCCCAGCGTTTGAGACCCGCCATCAAGCAGGAGTACAGATTCAGGAAGCCCTAACTAGCAAAGCCGCTGCCCGCTGGGAAAAGGCCGTCTTTTTTTGTGTGTGAGAGCTGGGGTCTTGCTCTGCCACCCAGGCTGGAGTGAGTGGTGCAATTCACAGCTCACTGCAGCCTCCAGCTCATGGGTTCGAGGGATCCTCCCACCTTGGCCTGCTAAGTATGTGGGACTACGGGTGTGTGCCGCCACGCCTGGCTAATTTTTTTTCCCCCCCCATAAAGACCAGTTCTCCCAATTTTACCCAGGCTGGTCTGGAACTCCTGGGCTCAAGCAGTTCTCCCACCTCAGCCTCCCAAAGTGCTGAGATTACAGGCATGAGTCACAGTGCCCAGCAAAAAAGCTAGTCTTGAAGTGGGGTAGACGCCTGTGCTGTCCCAGCAGTGCCCAGGGCCAGCCAGAGTGGGCACTGCTGCCTCGTTCCCCCACCTACCCTCAGGACGTGGCACTTACTGGGAGGAAGCAGGGTGTTGAGAAACCAGAATTGAGGGCGGACAGCAGTGCAGGGCCACCAGTGCTTGGGGATTTGAGGCCGGAAAGCGGAAGCAGGGTGCAGAAACTGTGGGTGTCCAGACGGCTTGGGTCCCCCTGCACCCCACCCTCAACTAGTAAGGCCACCCATCCTACTTTGCCTTGTATGGAGCTGACAGGTGACATGTTTTCCTAGTGTTGATAACAATCTAGGAGTTAAATAGATACTATCCTCCCTGCTTTACAACTGAAAAACGAGGCCTAGAGCGATGGAGTCACTTGTTCAAGGTCAGAGCCAGGACTCTTAAACGGGTCTCAAGTCGCTGGAGCAGCACAGCTCTCTAGGTTGGGACATTCTGCTCAGAGCAGCAGCTCAGGGCCACCAGGCCTCGGTGGCAGGGGAGCAGGCCCAGGCACGGTCTCTGTTTCTTGGAGCCGAGAGCTTTCTCAGAGTAGTGGGGCGAGATCTCCTAAGTTGAATCATTTTGGCCCTGGAGGCTGATGGGTACTTGGGGGAGCAATTCCCTGGTGATCCCAACCTGCAGGAGAAGTGGCCTGTGCCGGGGAAGGGACCACAGCTGGTCAGGGCAGCCGGCACCAAGTGGACGGGCCCCCCATCTCCTCATCCTCCAGGCCCTGACAGGAAGGAGCAGGAAGGGCTCCCTGACCTGTGGTTTGATCGGTGAGGAAGGGGATGGGTCTGCTGCAGGAAACTTGCCCTGAGCCCCTCCTTGCTAGACTCTGGGGTCTGGGCATTTCTTGGTGGTTGGCCTTCTCCAAACCCTCCCAGTCTCCGTCTGCAGCCTCCGCCTCCTGGACACAGGCCCCCACTCTCGTCAGGCCCGAAGATGTGGCCCTCACAGACCCTTTCTGTTCTGCTCCGTCCCCCGTCCCCTCTTGCACCCAGCATCGTCCTGGTCAGAACTTCCATTTAAACCTTCCTTGTCACGGCCCCGCATGGTGCACTCCGAGGAGGGCGTCGCTTTGCCGTAGGCCCTGGGGACGCTGCAAATGTTGGGATGCTTAGTGTTGGGCTTATGTGCACAAGACTCTCAGTGGCACAGATGTGCTTAGCCAAGCAGCGTTTCCAATGCCCATGTGTGACAGCCGTGGGAATGTGGGCAGATACGAAGCTGGGAGGGGCCAGGGACACGCTGTGGGCGCCCTACAGTGAAGGCTCCTGCCAGGGGGTTCTGAGAAGCCTCAGCAGACTCGGCCTTTGGGGCTCCTTCAGCAGCAGCTCCCATATCTGTGCCAACGACCAGGGGCCCAACTCAAGGGTGGCAGCCCATCTTCCCCCAATATAGACCATGGGATTCTGAGAGTTAGGAGCCCAGGACCCCCAACATGAGTGGGTTATCCCCAGGCTGCTGCCCTCCCCTGGGGTGGGGTGGTCAGGCTGAGCAAGTGGCTCTGTGAGCCTGCTTCCCCACACCTTACTGACTCCAATTCCTGGGTGAGGACAGAGTTTCCCGAAGGCCACTGGAGGAGGGGCACGTGGTCCCTGTGGGTGGCCCACCGCTGCGCAGACCTCTCCCACCAGCACGAAGCCACTGCCAATACCACTTCAGTGAGCCATCCCCACCTGCAGCGCCCAGACCCCGATCCATCTCAGGGGAGACCAAAGGCTGCAGGACCATCCTGGTGGCCTTGGGTGAGTCTTGAGTTTCGCCGCCACTGTCCGAAACATGGAGGAAATAACACCTGCGTGGCGCCACTTCGTGGACACACAGGGAAGAACTGCACGGTGGGATGCTGGACTCCACAATGAGCACCGTTTTCAGTGCCCTGGAAGAAGGCAGCCGGCACAGGGAAAGGGGCACACCCCATGCCCACGTCCAGAGAACCGGAGAGCCACTTACCGCAGCTCCAAGCAGGACAGACTCGTGGCCAAGTCAAGAAAGTAAGACTGGGTGTGGTGGCTCACGCCTGTAATCCCAGTGCTTTGGGAGGCCGAGATGAGCGGATCACTTGAGATCGGGAGTTCAAGACCAGCCTGAGCAACATGGTGAAACCCCTTCTTCTAAAAATACAAAAATTAGCTGGGCTGGTGGTGGACACCTGTAATCCCAGCTACTCTGGAAGCTGAGGCAGGAGAATCGCTTAAACCCGGGAGGTGGAGGTTGCAGTGAGCTGAGATCATGCCACTGTACTCCAGCCTGGGTGACAGAGATTCCATTTCCAAAAAAAAAAAAAAGTAAGGTCTGTATCTGCTGACCCCTGCCCTTCTCAGAAGCCCTCTCTGAGCAAAGCCTTAAGAAATTCTCTTGTTCACTTTTCTTTTATGGCTTTCACATTTTGGTAAAACTTGGCCAAATAGCTGCTGGAGATAATCAATCACTGGTAGACAGGTCAGTGCTGAGTGGGGCAGCTCAAGGCACTGCCATGCAGGCGGCACCTGTGTGCCACATCCTCACACGGCTGCGTGGCCGTGCCTCCCACTGTGTGTGCGTGTGTGTATCTGAGGTGCGTCCTGGGTACATCAGGGCGTATACGTGTTTGGAGGCGTGTGGAGGAGCTTGTCCGTGTGCTTCTACTCCAGTGCGGGAGAGGGGAAGGGTCTTGCCTCGCTGAGTCCCTTAACATTGCTGGAAAGGGCAGCTAGGCAGGAGCAGCCCAAAGCCCCGGCCAGGCCCTCAGAAGGGAGCCTGAAGGGTTAATCTGTGCCCGGTATGAACCAGGGTCAACCCAGCGGCTGACTCGCCTCTTCCCTGCTCCTCTGCTGTTTCCAGCGCCTGGCTTACTTCCTGGCACACAGTAAGCACTCAATAAACGTATGCTGAGAATGACTGCGAGCGGCTTCCTCGTTGGCTCCTGTGTATCTTCCTCCCAACATCACAGTCTCTCGCCTCTCGTCTGCTGCCTGGTTCCCTGTCACTTTACTGGAGTGTGCTCCTGACCCCACCCCTCCCAGGCTGCATTTGCTGGTTTGATCTGTGCTGCCATTTGAAGTGTGGGAGGGCAGAGCAACGTGCCTTTTGGGTGGTAAGACCAAGGCTCCTGGTGAATTCTGCTTATAGAGAGAGCCCCCTCAGATCATCGGAAGTCAGGAGTTCAAGACCAGCCTGGCCAACGTGGTGAAACCCCATCTCTACTAAAAATACAAAAATCAGCCAGGTATGGTGATGTGTGCCTGTAATCCCAGCTACTCCGGAGGCTAAGGGAGGAGAATCGCTTGAACCCAGGAGGCAGGGGTTGCAGTGAGCCGAGATTACACCATTGTACGCTAGCCTGGGCAACAAGAGCAAAACTTCATCTCAAGAGAAAAA